GGCAGGCGGGAATCGAACTCATGCGGAAGTGGCTTCAGATTATCAGTGCTGTGCTTTAACCCGCTGCGCCACCAGGGAGGGCCGTTTTTAACTAGTTTAATTTTAAAAAGCTGTATGTATTCAGTGGCTACAGAATTGGACAGTGTATCTATGTCCAAAAAATGCTAAAATTTAGAAAATATTTGTTTAAGTAAATATCCTAGTTACTAGGGATTAAACACTTAGTATAGCTAGTCACTTATCAATTTAAATTCCTGCTTAGCTTATAATATGATGCCTGGCAAGGTAATACGTGGGAAGCAGAGAGTAGAGGAACTAGAATGACATGTAACCCAGTTGGTACCTAATTTAGATCTAGGTGAACCACAGGTTTATCTTTTGTAAATAAACAAAAATTTTAAGATTTTTCCACTGTAATAGGAATAGCCAAACAGACGTTTCTCTCTGTTTTCTTAAGGAACTGATTTTTTTTTTTTTTTTTCAGAATAGGATACCTTTTCTAGTTGTTTTTTTATAGCTCTTCCTCAGTTTCAGTTGCAGTATTATTTCTTCCTTAGTTTCAACCTGCGGTGTTATCGATCTTATTTCTAGAGAAAAGTTCTGATTGGAAGAACATTTAAAATAATTTTTGAGGGACTTCCCTGGTGGCATAGGGATTAAAAACAGTGCTATCAAGCTGTCACCAGTCACTGCAACAGGAGTTCTATTCCCAGCCAGGAACCTGCATGTGGTACGGCACACCTCTTCTGCCTCACCTGTTGTCCCCCTTAGATCCACGCATGCTGCCTCCTACTCTTTATATCTCTGGGGAATCCTCTCACCCTTTCTACCCCCAACCCCAGCAACTCTGGCTTATACCTCAGACTTGTATGCATAAAGAAATTAAAATAATAAATATAAAAATCTCTCTTTAGATTATTTAGATTATATTCAGAGTACTAAAATACTAAGCCTATTTACTTGAGAACTTGGAGGTAAGACTCACCTAGTTTTCTCACATTTTGTTTTTGTAGGTAATTTTAACCAATCAGATGACAACAAAGATTGATAGAAATCAGGCCTTGCTGGTTCCTGCATTGGGTAGGTAATTAATTAGATAAATATGTTTAATCACAGTATTTTTGGCCCCTTTCATATGATGCTTGTTAAGTACTATAATCTACATAAAAATAGAGCCTGTAGCTTATTCACTTAGCGTGGTGCACAGTGTCCTTAGCTACTAGATAATCCTTTCAGTTATTTAACAAACATTTATTCAGTATCTGGCAGCTATCATATCAGGTACTGAGCATATAAATGTTAATAAGATGAATGTTCCACTCAGAAAGTTTTCAATCATAGGAAGGAGGAATGGTAAAATCACTTAAATACAAGTTGTGTTACAGTGATTATTGACTTTTCCTAATCTCAGGCATGGTTTTATTAGAATATAATTCTGGAGATTTGTTTCTACTAAAATCTTTAAGAATATTATTAGAGGAAAGGCCATGTGAAGACCCGGGAGAAGGTAGCCATCTATAAGTGAAGGAGAATGGCCTCTGGGGGTCCCACCCTGTTGACACCTGATCTCAGGCTTCTAGCCTCCAGTAGATGTCACTGGGTCAAGCATAGACTATTTTAAGTAGAGATTCAATTAAAATATTAAACTGCAGTACAGATAACACTACTGGAGATGTCTTAAACCAATGAGTAATGTATACACATTGCAGTATTATTTGGCCTTAAAAAGGAAAGAAATCCTGTCCTGGAGGACATCATATTAAATGAAATAAACTAGACCCAAAGGACAGATACTGAATGATTTCATTTACATGCAGAATCTAAAATAGTCAAAGAGAGAATAGTGGCCCTCCCTGGTCGTGCAACAGGTTAAAGCCCAGTTCTATGACGCTATCGCAGCCACTGCAGCAGGAGTTCAATCCCCAGCCAGTAGGGTGACCCACATGGTGTGGCAGACCTTTCCTGACCCACCCACTGCTCCCCTCAGGACTGTATTTCAGTCAGTCTGCCTGTTCTCTCTGATGAACCCTGTCACTACCACTCTGCACCTCTGGCCTGTACCCAGTTCTGTATGCATAAATAAATAAATCTTGAAAAAAAGAAAAAAATAGAATGTTAGTTGGCAGCGACTAGGGGCATAGGGAGCAGGAAACAGTTGTTTTTCAACAGGTATAAATATAAGTTGTAGAGATTTGTACAATAATGTGTCTTTAGTTAACACTGTATTACGCACTTAAAACTTTTTTGTGATGGCCCTCCCTGGTGGTACACTGGGTTAAAGTACAGCACTGAGAAGCTAAAGTCCCCCACCCCAGAGGTGATCCACAGGGTGGGCAGACCTCTCCTGACCCACCCTCTGCTCACTTCATCAGTGTACTTTGTCAGTTGGCCTGTTCTGCTCCCCACTCAGTCTCTGGTGAATCATCTCACCGCCCCACACCTCTGGCCTATACCCCAGTTCCATATGCATAAATAAATAAATCTTGGGGAAAAAAACCTTTGTTGTGAGGATAGATATATAATAATAAGTTACATAATAAAACGTTGCTCCGACCTCCTAAAATGAAGTAAAATTAAAGTAAATTAGTAAAGTTAAGATTGTTTGGTCAGGGCCTCCCTGGTGCTACAGGCGTTGAAGTCTCAGTGCTATTAAGCTAACACCCAGCCACTGTGGCATGAATTGCTTCCAGCCAGGGAGCTGACCCCCATGGTACAGCATCTCCTGTCTCCCCTGGTGCTCCCCTCAGCAGTGTATTTCAATCAATCTGCCTATTCTGCTCCCTGCTCTGTTTCTGGTGAATCCTGCCACCCTCTACACCTCTGGCCCAAACCCCAGTTATTTGAAGAAAAAAAAATCCTTTTTTAAAAAAAGACTGATCAGAGGTATTCTGAGAGACTTAGAACCTAATCAGTGTGGCAATATACAGTTATTTTATGTTCTTTTTTCCCTCAGGGGAAAGTTGGGGACATGCTGCTACAATACGGCTCATCTTTCATTGGGACCAAAAACAAAGGTCAGTATAGAAACCAGTAAATAATTCTGAATATTTAATTATACTGAACACTTAATAGCTTTTTAGGACTAGACCAGTGGATGAGATTTACAGAGTCCTAGAACTAAAGTTTTTGTGGCCTTGTGCTTCATCATCTAGAACAAAATAGAAACATGTTGTTATGCTGCAATTCAGTATGTAGGAAATTCTTTGAAATATTTAAATGACGGGGTGCACCTGAAATGAGTAGGTGGCCAAGGAATGCTCCCTTCTAAAGCTCTTTGAAATCAAGTACCATTTATTAGCCATGTGGAAGGAGGTAAGTACTCTGTGTTCCTGGTACGGATTGAAAGAATAAAATCACGACAAAAGAAAAACTTTTGAGGTTAACTTTAAGAACTTACTTATGGGAAAATAGGATGGATTGCCTAATCTAGTTCTTGCAGGAAATTGTATCTATTTTTGTTTTCTTCTGTATTTTTTATCCTACTTTTGTTATTCATTAACATATCTATCTTTCACAAGTACTGTTCTTTAAAATAAAACTATGGCAGCATGAAACCTGTGTATTTTTTTAAAAAGCTGCTGAACAAGTGACAAACAGCTTTCATTTTCTTTAAAATAGGCAATTAAAAGCCATGAAGTATTTATTCTGCACTTCTTGAAATATCAGATTTATGCCAGCCTCTCTGCTTTGAGATTAATTGGTATAGCCTAGAGAACGTGGTATAACCTAGAGAACGTGGTCATTGGTATAACCTATAGAACGTGGTTGGGAATGCACCAATAAAAGAGGGAAATTGAGACTGTGTTGGCACAAGGGGTTAAGATTCAGCACTATGAAGCTATCTGCAGCCATTGCAAAAGGAGTTGGATCCCACATAGCACAGCAGACCTCTCCTGTCTCACCCACTGCTCCCTTCAGCAGTGTATTTCATCTAATCTGCCGGTTCTGCTTCCCACTCTGTCTCTGGTGAATCTTCTCACCCCACATCTCTGGCCTGTACCCTTGTACAGTTCTTATGTGCATAATAAATAAATATATATTTTTAAATGTGGCATTTCCAAAGAGCTCAATTAACTCCTTTTCCCTTCATAATACAGTGTTTTGTAATTGACTTCCACCCCCAAGTTCTTTTTATTTACAGTAATTTATTCTTTTAATTGAGGTAACATTAAGATCTTTCCCATCAGGTATTGCCACCGAAGCACACCCACATCCAAATCACCCAGAGTCTACCACCATGGTGCATGGTGCATTCCTTCCCTCTTTGTTCTTACCTCTCTCCCACCCCCATTTCCAAATGTATAAGTCATTGCATGCATAAAAAGAATTCTTTTCTTAGCAACAAACCCTATTGTGAAGATTTGGCTTTAGTTCTCTAAATGAAAATCTTTTGAACATTTTGCTTGTATGTTCCTAGATTTAGGTTTGTGTTAAATGCATCCCACTCTTTAAATGTTCTTAGGAATTCCCCTTCAGTTAGTATTCTGTAGTAGTCTTCTCCAAACTAATATTAACATACTCACTAATAGAATACATCTATGAAATAGCAAAAAATAATAGAAAAGCAAGATATTTCATTTTTATAATGCTCTCATCAGAAGGAGAAGTTTGCTGTCTTTGTGAAATTCTGGAAGTTAGCATTGGTTAGGTACCATAAGATCAAAAAAATTATGCTTCCTTTTCTTTTTAATTAAGGAAGTATTGGTTTATAACATTACATGCTTACTTATGAAGTTAACCATTTTATGACCAATCCTTACAAAGGAATTAAGAGAATTGTATGGATTACTAACAATAAAATAGTTTTTTTTTTTTTAAGATTGATTTATTTATGCATAAGAGAGCTAGGTACAGGCTGAAGTCCAGGGGCGAGAGGAATCAGGGACAGAGTAGGGAGCAGAACATGAGGACCTACTGAAATACACTGCTGAGGGGAGCAGTCCAGCGAGACAGGAGAGGTCTGTGCTTTGGGTGAGCTCTCTGCCGGGATACAACACATGATGTAGTGGTTGGTGGTAGCTTGATAGCATTGAAACTTTAACTACTGCACCACCAGGAAGGCCTTGAACAGATTTATTTTGGGGAAATACAGCACTCTCTAAAATTTCTCCTGAATCTCATAATGTCGCTTGTTTTTTTCTTTTTTTTTAAAGAAGATTTATTTTGATTTTATTTGTATTTGTTTATGCATAAAAGAACTGGGGTGTAGGCCAGAGGTGTGGGGGGAGTGAGAGGACTTACCAGAGACAGTGGGGGTGGAACAGGTGGATCTACTGAAATACACTGATGAGAGAAGTAGACAGGAGAGGTCATCTGCTGTACTGTGTGGGTTAGTTCCCTAGCCAGGGATCAACATATGCTGCAGTGGCTGGTGATAGCTTGATAGTGCTGAGGCGTTAACCCCTACACCACCAAGGAGGTCCCATACTGTCATTTGAATGAGCACTTGTTTGTGCTAGGTAGTTAACGGGCATTATATTTCATATTCTGTAATATAGCTTCTTGTGATTTTTTAATAACTGTGAAGAATTTATATTGATCACTAGTAGTGAGAAAATTAAGACCCAGAAATATTAACTATGTAGTAAATAATGGCTACCATTTATTGAATATTTGTTAACTGTCCTTAATTGTGCTAAGCACTATACCTTCAGTTTCGATGAATTCTCGGCATCTCATATAAGTGGAGTCACACAATACATAGTTTAATTTTTCAAATAGCTATGAAATAGCTATATGTACAATTTATAGCTAACTTTATACTAGAGTCATTCTTTCCTATTATTACATTTCTGAAATGTAATTATAACATTTCCTTGATTATAAATTTGAAGGTATAGCTCTTATCCTTTTTAAGTAAAATTTTTTTCTCCAAACTACTTTTTTTCCAGGCAGTGAATATGTCATAAGAAATGTACATACTTTATTATTATCAAAATAAGTTGAACTCATTTTATAGAATTAAAATAGTCTGTTTTTCATTGTTGAAACCACATGTCTTTAAGTCCTTAATGTTGTATAAAACATTACATTTTAAAGTTTACTTTATCTTAAAAGGATGGAAATAGACATTCACATTGGGAAAAGATGGGTGTAATCAGTTACATACTTGCTGTTTGAGTAGAAAACAGAAACCTGTATGAGGAAAATTTATATTGAAAATTCAACTTAAGTATCCTATGTCATGTCCTACTCCTCATCCTTTAACAGAAATACCTGATTTTTACCTTCTGAGTAATCATGGAATAATAGTCCAACAGTTATTAAGAGTAATAGTTTTGTCTCCTATATATTGTGTGGTTTTCCCTCCAATTAGCATATTCATGATATTATGAAGCTGAGATTGTTCAGAATTATGCCATCATTTGCCAAGAAGATCTGATGGTAGAGTGGAGTAATATATCAACACCCCCACACAGTGTTTCATATGTGTGCTCAGCTTTTGAGCACAAATTGTGCTTCTGTCTTGTTTCTTCCTGACCCAAAGTATGTAGTTCAGCCATATGTTAAGCTTCATCTCAGTTGGGTCCATGAGCCAAATGATTATTTGGTTTAGTTTGGTGTTTAATAAAATCTCTTAAGATGTAGATAAAATAAAAAAAATGATTTTTACCTAGAAATTTGAGGAAGATATTCAACCTGAATACTTAATGCCCATTTGACTTTAGATTCTTAATAAAAATAGAAATGTTTTGCTGAAGCTTGTTTTTTAAAGTTAATTTTCTCAGGAAAGTTGAATGTACTGGGAACCTTTTTGAACATATAGTGGAGTAGGTAATTTATATATTAATTTTTCAGAAGGTTAGGTAACTTTATAGAATCAAAAAGTGATTTTTTTAAATGAGAGGTTTAAATACCCCATTCCTCTGTTTATCTGCTTATTTTAGCATTAAAGATAGAATATCAGCTCCAAAGTATTACACAAATTGTATAATCTCACCCCCTAAAATACAACCAATTTTTAAAAATTTATTTTATTTATGCATATATGAACTGGGGCATAAGCCAGAGGTTGGGGGTGATGCATAAATAAATCCATCTTTAAAAATAATAATAAAATACACTGCTGAGGGGAGAAGTGGGCGAGACAGGAGAGGTCTGCTGCATCGAGAGTGTTAGCTCCCTGGCCAGGGGTAGATTTCGTGCTACAGTTGCTGTAGATAGCTTCATAGTGCTGGGATGTAATCCTTTGCACCACCAGGGGGGCCCATATTATTATTATTTTTATGGACATAATTACTCTGAAAGAATGTGTTCCAAGCTTATTTGTATTCATATAACAGGAGTTTGTGTTCCTCATTTATATTCCAGGAAATTATCTTAATACTTATATGGTAACACAAAAAATACATACTTGTTACAAGAAGTTTGAAAAATATAAACAAAAAAACCCCAACAAACTACATGCTTTCTAGTAACTTTTTAAAAAAAAATTATTTATGGGCCCTCCCTGGTGGCGCAGCGGGTTAAAGCACAGCACTAAGAAGCTAAAGCCACTTCCACATGAGTTCGATCCCCGCCTGCCCTGGAGGTGACCACATGGCGTTTCAGACCTCTCCTGACCCGCCTGCTGCGGTGTACTTTGTAGATTTGCCTGTTCTGCTCCCCACTCTCACTGGTGAAGCCTCTCACCGCCCCTGAGCTTCTGGCCTGTACCCCAGTTCTGTATGCACAAATAAATAAATCTTTAAAAAAAAATTCTTTATGCATACAGAAGTTGAGTACAAGCCAGAGGTGCAGGAACAGTGAGCGGATTCACCAGAGACAGTGGGGATCAGAACAGGCAGACTGACAAAGTGCACTGCTGAGGGGAGCAGCAGGCGACACAGGAGAGATCTACTGTGCCATGTGGGTCACCTCCCTGGCTGGGAATCAAACTCGAGTTTCAGTGGCTGTGGCCAGCTTCGTAGCACTGTGCCTTAACCTGTTGCACTACCAGGGAGGGCCCTGAAATAACTTTCGATTGTAGGCTTCTAATAATTTTTCTCTATGTGTATAGGAATACTTATAAATGTGAGGTCATACAGCATAACTTCTGCTTAATGTTTTATTTTTCCTATTATTAAGTATTTCCTTATACTTTCTTAAGTATAATTAATATCACGCATAAAATAATTTACTGGAAGCAGTCTTTGGATTTTTTTTAACATCATTGTTCATTTTTGTACAATATTTAATTACTCAGGTGTAGTCCCCATACCTTAGCACTACTTAGTTCTCCACTGCCTTAGCACCTGGCCCATCACCAGAGTCCCTTCAGCTCTTTTCTCCCCTGGCTTGACCCCTTTCTTTGCCACTGTCCTGCTGTATGCCTCAGATCTATGATCAGTTTGCAAATTTTGCTTTTTTCCTGAACCAAATGGCTTCCCTATATTCCACCTATAAGCTGAGCCATCTGATGTTTCCTTTTCTCTCTGAGACACTGGACTTCTAGGTTACTTTTAAAATTTACCTAAAAATTTACCTAAAAGCACAGGGGATTAAGCCGCAGGACTACGAAGCTATCTCCAGCCACTGCAGCACAAGTTTGATCCCAGGCCAGCAAGCTGACTCACCAGAACCTCTCCTGTCTCACCTGCTGCTCCTGTCAGCAGTTTACTTCACTCAGTCTGCCGGTTCTGCTCTCCACTCTGTCTCTGGTGAATCCTTTCACCCTGCCCCCCACACCACCTCTGGCCTACCACCCCAGCTCTTGTATGCATAAGTAAAGGAAACAAAAAATTTTTACCTATGTAAACAAATGTTATTCATATAGTAATTATTATATGCTTAACTATAATTATTGGTTAGAGGAAGAATTTTTAATACTTGTTTCATTAGAGAACACAATTATAGAATTACAGAAAAATTATAAATTTAAATTATGAAGTCACTCATCTGAACGAATTAATTAAGAATACATGTATGTATTTATTTTTTTCTCTAAACAGGTTGGCAACATTGTACAAATCACCAAGCCAGAAGGAGTCTACAATACTGTTTCAAATCACAGTCAGTATTATTTGATTAGAGTGGGATTTTGGTGTTTGTGGCAACAATTATCTAAAGAGAGCATTTACAAATTGCTCCTGTTAACTTCTGTAGGCAGCAAGCATATTTGAGGACAGCTTTTGATGCTTAGAACATTATCCCCAGAATAGAACTATATATACAGAATACTCTAGTCACAATTGGACTGAAACTTATTCTTAAGAACAGAGGAAATATTTGTATGGTATTGCATTCCATGCCATATGTAATGTCAGGACATTAAGGAAATTTAAAGTGAAAGTTGTTAACAGATTTTAAGAAAAGAAAAAATGCAGACATCTTTTTGTTCTGTAGATACATAGATTCGTCATAGCCACCAAATACATCTCTCTTTAAAAAGTTAATCTTTCTGTAAGTTTATGTCATACAACATATATGTTTGGCTGAAATGTGTATCAATAATCATAAGTCAAATATATTCTTGGCATCTAATTTTCTAAGGACAAAAATAGAAATAGAGATTCTGAAGCTGAATTATCCAATTAATCTTTGCATTATGCAGGTGCATTTAAGGTTTCCTAGTTAGAAAACCTTATTGTAGAATATTTAATTCTGAAAATAAATTTATAATTTAATTACAAATAATTCCTTGCCCTTTTAAAGCTTTTTAGAATTATCTCTTAGAGAACATTTTTTATAATACATTTTTGTATATGTATAAATAAGTATATGTAAAATACTCTAGATATAAAATACAACTCTGACATGACACCTATCTATGAGGTTTATGCTCTTCCTTCACAGTGGTTGATAACTTTTATCAGAACCTTATCAGAAAAATAAAATAATTCTCATCAATTACTTAAAAATATTTGAAAGATTTACTGTTTTATTAGGTGTGGCTAAAGCATACTTGTGTATTTTTTCATCTTGCAGCCTCAGGGATTTAGAGATGCTGTTGTTGCTACGGCATGTTCATCACAAGCACAAGGTTCCTTGAATTCCCGGAAGCGGTCACGAGACTCAGAAGAACAGGAACCCAACGACTAGTGTCAAAGTGTACATATGTGATGGTGTTGTGAGTTGTAATGTATACAAATAGTAAGTGCATTATTTAAAATATAGGCACACAGTGTGGCATGTATGAATCTGAATCGATAAAGTGATTGGGTAAAATAATATGATTCTGTGAAAAAGTTTTATAAAGCAGTGTTCTGCAGTTATGTTTTGCTATGTTTTCATTTTTAGTGGCGCCCAGTAGAGATGGACACAGGTATTATGTTATGCAAATCTGGAAACCTTGATCTCATTTTACCAATTTAGATTTACCATTATAACATTCTGCTTTAAGTAACTATAGATTCATGACTATGGACAAAATCAAATGTGTTTCTTTTGATTACAACTCTTTAAATAAAATTTTTATAACATAGCCTTTCAAAGTTGTTGATGTTGCTCAGAAAGTGTTTGTTTTTCTGGTCGTAATATACACTTACATTTTAGTGGGCTTGGACTGATGTAACAAACTACCACAGACTTAACTTGCAGAAATTTTTTATGTACTAAAGGCTAGAAGTTCAAGATCAGTATACAGGCATGGTCTGTTTTTGGTGAGGATTTTCTTTCTGGCTTGCAGATAGATGGCTGCCTTCTGCGTTATGACTCACAAAGGCTTTCCTTGGTACATGGACATGATAGATGGGTCTTTCTCTCTCCATCTATTTCTTTCTTTTTTTTTTAATTGTAATGACCTTGGTTTACATGCTTGTGTTTTAGAAGTACAGTATCTCACACACAGCCTCCACTACCAAAACACTACCACAGCAGTCCTTTGTGCTTCCTCACCAGTTGTTCTTTCTTCATCTTAAAAAACCACCAACCTTGGGCCCTCCCTGGTGGCGCAGCGGGTTAAAGCACAGCACTGAGAATCTAAAGCCACTTCCGCATGAGTTCGATCCCTGCCTGCCCCGGAGGTGACCACATGGCGTGGCAGAACTCTCCTGACCCGCCCACTGCTCCCCTCAGCAGTGTACTTCGTGGATCTGCCTGTTCTGCTCCCCACTCTGTCTCTGGTGAAGCCTCTTGCCACCCCTGAGCCTCTGGCCTGTATCCCAGTTCTGTATGCACAAATAAATAAATCTTTAAAAAAAAAAAAAAAAAAACCCACCAACCTTACCATAGTAGGAGTCCACCCTTATGTGACCTTATTTAACCTTAGTTACCTCCTAAAAGTGTTATTTCCAATACTGCTCATATTGGAGGTTAGGACTTCAACATACGAATTTTAATGAGGACACAATTCAGTCCTCCTTACAGACCCCGGCCCACAAATTCAAGCAAATATATTCATTCCATCCTAACAATTAAAAAAATCTTAACTCATTCCAGCATTAACTCTTCAACTCCAAAGTCTTATTTAAATATCTTGTAAGGAAGTCTAAAACTTAGCAAGGCAAATTCTATTATACCTGAGACTAGACAGTGATCCTCAGTGATTCCTTACTCAGCCTTTCAGGCCTGTTTGTCTCAGCATCACACCCACAGCTTTAGCTCTAGGGTCTTACCTCTGAGACTCTCAGCAAGAGTTTTTGCCCTTCAGATTGCTGATAGCATCTGTTCAAACCTAGGCAGTTGCTCTAAATGACTTGTGAATCTCCTTCAGAATAATCTTTCCCTTTTGAAGAACATTGCATGCTGATAGCCATATTATTAAGTCCTGTAAAATCCAAGTCTGACAGTCTTCCTTTATTTTGTGCTCTAATGCCTTCAGTTCAAATTGTTTTTGCTCATATAATTCCCATAAATTTGATGGAATAGTTGTCCAGTCATACCATTGGTAGTCTCTTTAGAACTTGCTAAATTTTTGCAAAATTTATAGTAATAAGTGGTTAGGTAGAACCAAGCCTTTCCTTCAGTACTTTGCTTAGAAACCTCAGTTAAATATCCAGTTTTAAATTATTTGTAAGTTCTGTCTTCTGCAGAACACTAGAAAACAGTTACACTAAAAAGGAATCACTTGTCCTCCAATTTCCAGTAACATGTTTCTTATTTCTGTCTTAGACTTCCGAAAATTACCCTTAATACCCTTATTTCTGGGATACACTTAATGCTTTCCCAGCCTCTAACCATTACCTAATTCTTAAGTTGCTTCTACTCATTTAGGCATTCAGACCCAACTTCTTAGTTCAAACTGTTTTGATTTGGGCTGCCATAAGAAAATACTTTGGTTGGATACTTTGAAAGTTTTCTCACAGTTATGAAGTCTGGAAGTCTTAAGATGCTAACATGGTAGGTTTCTGATGAGGGATTTCCTGGCTCAGAAATAGTCCTATTCTTGCTGTGTTCCCACATGACAGGAACAAGATGTTGAGAGCATGAACAAGCAACTGGAAGTTGTCTCCTACAAGAATACTCTCATAAAGGTCCTTCTCATAGGACTTCATTTAACTTTACTTCCTCAGAGCCCTATCTCCAAATGGAGTCACATTGAAGATTAGGGCTTCAGCATACAAATTGGGGGAAGTTTAATTCAATCTCTAACACTACAGAAAACTTAAAATATGTACACAAATTTAAAAAACGTTGTAAACTTTTATATAGTATAAAAAAACTTACCTTCATGTGTTCTACATAATTAAATTTTCCTGTGATAGGTTTTTTTGTTGTTTTAATGTGTAAGAATGTTTTTTTTAAAGATGTATGTATGAATACAAGAACTAAGTAGAGGCCAGAGATGTGGTAGGTGAGAGGCTTCATCAGAGACAGAGTAGAGAGCAGAACAGACAGATTGACTGAAATACGCTGCTGAGGGGGAGCAGCGGATGAGACAGGAAAGGTCTGCTGTGCCATGTGGGTTAGCTCCCTGGCCGGGCATCGAACTGGTGCTGCAGTGGCTGCCAATATTGCTTCATAGTGCTGAGACTTAACCCCTTGCACTACCAGGGAAGACCCAGCGTGTAAGAGCTTTAATAGATTAGTGTTTGTATAGCAAAGAGAAAGGCTTAGTTTCCTGGTAAAACACCCAAAATTACCCACTAACTTGACTAAATGTCAATGAGATTTGGCCCTGAGACTACTTAGAGACCTGAAAACCTGCCACAAGCCTAAGCCATCTACTTAGGGAATTACAGGAAAGGGGCTGAAGAGGCCAATCAAGTCTGGGACAAAAGGAAGAAAATCAAAGGTATAAATTAATGCAATGGCTGCCATTGCCACCCACCCCACATGTCTCACCTACAAGTGTCTCTACCTCTCTGATAGGTTTTAATGGTAGTTCATACTTTCAAATTTTAGTTCAAAATTTTAGTTACTGTTCTATTTTTAATTTTATAAACAGTGCTTCTAAAAAGCATATGTTTCTAAGGAAATTGATTATCATTTTTAATTTCCTATTGCTATCATAAATTACCACAGATTTAGTGACTTAAAAGAACAAAAATTTATTATTATACAGTTTTGGAGTCTAAAATCAGTTTCAGAGGCTAAAAGTCAACGTCTCAGCTGGTTTACATTCCTGCTACAGGGTCTAGGGGAAAAGTTTTTTCTAGCTTCCAGAGGCCTTCTGCATTCCCTGGCTGATAGCCCAACTTCAAACACAGCAGTATACCATCTTCCACTCTCTTTTCCTGTTTCCTCCTCCCCCCTTGGTCTCCTGCCTCCGCCCCTCCCCCTGTTGTTTTTTTTTTTTTTTGCCTCCCTTTTATAAGGATATTTGTGATTCATTTTAGGGCCCAGTCAGACAATCCAGGACAATCTTCCTATCTCAGGGTCCTAAACTTAATCTCATCTGCAAAGTCCCCTTCTGCATTGTAAATAGCATTCATAATTTCCCAGAATTAAGTTGTAAACATATTTGGGGAGCCATTTGTTCAGCCCTCCCTCATGATTCAAGAAATGTGGTAACATGATTCAAAAAATAATGATCCTTGTGTGGTTCACATGCACATTAAAGTTTGAAAAGCATTGGGATAGACTTGTTAGTTTTTACCTGTATTCATAGATGATCATTACCATTTATGAAATGGAAAAAAGGTATGAATAGTTCCTTAGCCTTTGAAAGCTTTATTTTTCAAAGAATATCACGTTTTTGTTTTTTTTTTAGCAAATATAGCCAAATAATACACTAAAAGCAAAACACAAGAGGAATGTTTCCCCCCCCACAGACATTCAGGTTATTTTCACATTTAAATGCCAGTCAATATCATTAACACATTTACAGAATATACAAAGAAAAAATTCTTATAACAGAGTATAGAAAAGGTATTTGATAAAGGAAAATAAATACATGGTCTTGATAAAAACTGACAGCAAAGAAAAATAAAAGGAATTCCTCAGATATATAAAAATTCTTTAATCTGATAATCTGATAAAATTGCATCTACAAATGTTGTACAATTACCATTATATTAGTTGCAGTCAACATTATACTGAAATTCTAATTGGTGCAACAAAGCAGGAAGGGGGAAGGGTATCTAAAGATTGAAAAAGAAGTAAAATTTATGATGTGCAGATGAAATGGCAGGATATGTAGAAAACTCAAAAGAATCTGTATTCCAAACTTTTACAATGAGTAAATAAACTTAGTAAAACCTCTGAACACAAGAGTGTCGAAGACATTTTGTCCCTGATCACGGATTATTGGGAGGCAGAACAGGTAGGGTCTCAAGGTGGGAACAGTGTCAGAGAGTGGAGATTCCTAGAAAAAGGGGAAAAAGGGGAAAAAAAGGGGAGCAAGCGCAAGGAAGACATGGGAATGGGAGTTGGGTGCAAATCTTCCTGCTCTGCCTTCAGCAGAGATTTATTTTATACATTTCAAACAGGCAGAGGAATGATATTAGCATATGACATGATATTAGCATATGAGATCACAATCACCTTTTTTCTAAGAATAGGTTGGGGTCATTTTGACCTTTAGTTGAGATTATAACATTTTTTAAAATCAGTCTATCAAGGTTAAAACAGGTACATAGACTCACAAAGTTTAAGACTAATATTACTACATTTACCACAGTGAAGATTAACCAAAATAAAGTCCCTGAAACATTATCTATTACTTAACAGCTTTCATTCTCATAGAGACATCCTAGGGGGTAAAATAAAGTGAGGCCAGGAAGAGGAAATTTCTTGTAAATCAATTTAAGGTAAGGTTCTTTGAAAAACTTGTTAGAAAGTTTAAGTGAATTTCCTTGAAGTCTAGAAGATAAAAAACCTGAATAGGCGAATTCGTTGAACTTCCATATCTAAAGACTAGATAGTAGGTGGCCCTCCCTGGTGGCTCGGGTTAAAGCACAGCACTAAGAGGCTTAAGCCACTTTCGCATGAGTTCGATTCCCGCCTACCCTGGAGGAGATCCACATGGTGTGGCAGACCTC